ACCAGTATAACCATGCCAGGGCAAATATTTAGGCTAAATTGTGGGAGCTAAGAACATAAAGTACATTGATTTCTTTAGTATGGCTGGCAGATATTTAAGAATGTTAGCACAGGTCTTTGAATAAATTTTGCTTCTAAGAGAAGTTACTATTTATTCCTAATTAGACAGGGAGGAAAGTCTTTGAAGAGGAACCTCTACTTTACTTTTCACAAGCACTTAATTCTTTTCTATGGCTGAATATTCCATTTTATGAATAGACCACATTTCATTTATCCACTCATCAGTTGATGAATATTTGGGTTGTTTCTATTTTTTGGCTATTATGATTCATGCTGTTATAAACACTGGTATGGAGGCCTTTGTGTGGACATGTTTTCATTTCTCTTGGGTAGACACCTAGGGGTAGAATTGCTAGGTCATATGGAAACTCTTTTACCTTTTGAGGAAGTGCCAAACTGTTTTCCAAAGTGCTCACCATTTTCAATTCCCACCAACAGTGTGTGTGGCTCCAGTTTCTCCACATCACGGCCAACACTTGTTTTTGTCTTTTTTATTATAGCTATCCTAGTGAATGTGAAGTGGCATCTCAGAGAGGTTTTGATTTGCATTTCCCTGATGACTAATTAAGTTGAGCATCACCTCTGTTTTCCATCACCTCTGGAAGGATACTCCAACCTAGTGACAGTGGTTGCCTTTGGGAAGAAACTGGAGACTAAGATCCCATTGAGAAAAAGCCTGCCTTCTCACCATGGAAACTTTGTACTGTTTGGGTTTTTAAATCCTCTATTAACCTAAAAAAAAATAATAATTCAGGGCTTCCCTATGGGGGATCCACGAAAAGACACCATGGTGCCCGTGAAGGTCTGGAATTCAAGTACTCAGAATGCATATGTATGTATGTCTGTATGTAGCAGAGGTCTAGAGCTTTCATCCAAGTCCCAAGGGGATTCACTGACGTCTCCAAAAATACATAAAATCCTACTCTAGAAATATAAGTATATCTGGATAACCAGGAACCTATTGGTGTCAGCCCTCTATTGCTCAAACAGCCCTGGAAACACCCTGCTTATAATTGTAAGGTGTTCGCAACAGGCCAGGTCCCATTTGGGGCACAAAATGCACGTTCACCTTGAATCCTCACAGATACCAGAGCTGAAGACAGGGCTGTCTATATAGATGACTGTCCATCTGGACTGGGATCCAGCTCAGCTACATCACACATCAAGCCAAAGCTCTCCTTACTGGGGAGCTGCTAAATGCTTTCACCACGCAGGACCCACCCGACAACAGCCCCACGCGATGGGTACTTTTTCTTTTTCCCATTGTACAGATGAGGAAACAAGAGCCTCAGGGTAACTCCCTAACTGGGCCCAAGGTCATGCAGCTATTAACAGTCAACAGTAAGAGCCAGGATCCTAGCTCTTGGCTACCCCATTCTCAAGGATGCAGAGTGCCTTCTCTAAACAAATTCTTCCAGACACAAACTGATTACAAGTTGTCTGTTGACTTTACAAACATATTTTTATTATATAAAAAGAAATTACTATAGAATTACTTTAAATAGGACATTTCTCCCAGTGAATTTAAAATAGCATCTGTTTCACAAAAATATTTGCAACATGCCTTTTCAGATATATACTCACTGAATAATCATTAGGTACATGGCAGAAATACACATTTAATACCTTTTTTATTTTACGAAACAGGACAAGTGCATTTTCCAAGCGCTTCTATAGCCACTGTCTCATCTGTTCCTCCCAACAGCCCAGGGATGAAGAACAAGCAGGTGTTATCTTACTTACAAAGAAACTGAGGTCCCAAAAATTAAATTGACTTAATTAGCAGCAGAATCAGACATGAAATACATTCTCCTGATTCTTCATCATCCAGCCATAAATAACACATATTCTCAGCCAGGCATGGTAGCTCAAGCCTGTAATCCCAACACTTTCATAGGCCAAGGTGGGCAGATCACAAGGTCAGTAGTTCGAGACCAGCCAATATGGCCAATATGGTGAAACCCCGACTCTACTAAAAATACAAAAATTAGCCAGGCGTAGCGGCAAGTGCCTATAGTCCCATCTACTCGGGAGGCTGAGGCAGGAGAATTGCTTGAACCTTAGAGGCAGAGGTTGCAGTGAGCTGAGATCGTGCCACTGCACTCCAGCCTGGGTGACAGAGTGGCCTGGGTGACAGAATGACCCAGGTGACAGTATTTTTTAACGGAGCTTTTATTTTGAGAATATGTGGGGTTTGTTTTGTTTCGTTTTGTTTTGTTTTTACAAATTCTCATATTCTCAAAATAAAAGCTCCATTAAAAAATACTAACATTAGTGGGATGGGAAGATAAAGGTGCCAGGCAGTGAATGAATAAATATGTGAGTTGCAAGATTTCTAGTACAGGCAGTGGAAGGCCTGCAGACCTCTTCGCCAGGTGTCTGACATTTGTAGAACCTGAGACCCAGAGAGATGAGTCAAGAACTCCACTGAGACACAAGTTGAAAGTCTTTCAGGCCAGGTACGGTGGCTCCCAACTGTAATTCCAGCACTTTGGGAGTCTGAGGTGGGAGGATTGCTTGAGCCCAGGACTTCAAGACCAGCCTGGACAATATAGCGAGACCCCATCTTTACAAAAAAATAAAAATAAAAACTAAAAAAGTCTTTCAGAGCATGCAAGCTTGCAGGCTGTCAGCAAATACGATCCAGAGATCTTAGCTCTGGAAAATGCTATGGCATTGCAGAACTGCCAGTGGTAGGGGAACAAGAGCTGCTGAGGTAATGGAATCTGCTGGGGTGGTTATCATCACACACTCCCCGGAACCACAAAATCAACCACATCCTGGGCCCATGTACAGGGTTTCTGCTTCAGTCTCCTCTGATCCCCTGCTCTGACTAACAAAGCCCAGAAAGGAAGAGATTTCATGGATTTTTGTGTCTCTGAAAGCTGAGGGCCCTTCTCTCCCAACTCATTCCAGTGAAATGAAGTTTCCCTCCCACCCATGACAGCTGATGTTTTGTTGTGTGTTTCCTGGTAGATCTTGGATTCTGCCTCAGACCTTTTTCTTGATCTGATGCTCATCGTTCCAACTGAGGACAAGGGTCCTCAGCTGTGTTCCAGTCATCAGGGGCCAAAGAGCTCAATGCTGTCCAGTTTCTCCTCTTTGTAGAGCAGAATATTCTCCATCAGTTTCCTTTTGGCCTCATTGATCTCAATTTGCCACGAAGTCTCTGTAGCTGATGTCCAACAGAAAGCAAACAAGAGCAACTTGAATGAAAATTACCATTATTTTAATTCTTAGATTCACTTAACTCAGATTTCTGAATCAGGACCTGAGTGTAATGAGCATTTCTTTTCTTTTTTCTCTTTTTTCTTTCTTTCTTTTTTTTAATTGAGACAGGGTCTCACTCTGTTGCCCAGGCTGGAGTGCGATGGCACCATTTCAGCTCAAGGCAACCTTGACCTCACAGGTTCAGGTGATCCTCCCACCTCAGTCTCCTGAGAGGCAGGGACTACAAGTGTACACAACCACACCTGGCTACTTTTTTTTTTTTTTGAGATGGAGTCTCACTCTGTCGCCCAGGCTGGGCAACACACACAGTTAGTTTTTTTGTATTTTAGTAGAGAAGGGGTTTCACCATGTTGCCCAGAGTGGTCTTGAACTCCTGAGCTCAGGCAATCCACCCGCCTTGGCCTCCCAAAGTGCTAGGATTACAGACAGGCATGAGCCATCACGCCCGGCCTGTGAGCCACGGCAAACGACCTATTTATTTATTATTTTTTGAGATGGAGTCTCACTCTGTTGCCCAGGCTGGAGTGCCGTGGCTCGATCTCGGCTCACTGCAACATCTGCCTCCTGGGTTCAAGCAATTCTCCTGACTTAGCTTCCCGAGTACCTGGGATTACAGGCGCCCACCACCACACCCAGCTAATTTTTTGTATTTTTAGTAGAGATGGGGTTTCAGTGTCTTAGCCAGGATGGTCTCGATCTCCTGACCTCGTGATCCACCCACCTCAGCCTCCCAAAGTGTTGGAATTACAGGTGTGAGCCACTAGGCCTGGCCTTTTTTTTTTTTTTCCTGTATTTTTAGTAGAGACAGGGTTTCACGACATTGGCCAGGCTAGTCTCGAACTCCTGACCTCAGGTGATCCACCCACCTCGGCCTCCCAAAGTGCTGGGATTACAGGTGTGAGTCACCATGCCTGGCTGGCCACACCTGGCTAATTTTTGCATCTTTTGTAGAGGTAGGTTTTCACCATGTTGCCCAGGCTGATCTTTAAATTCCTGGGCTCAAGCAATCTGCCCACCTCGTCCTCCCAAATTACTAGGATTACAGGCATGAGCCACTGCACCCGGCTGTAATGAGCATTTTCATCTCCTCTGCCTTTGCAGGAAGCCCAGCAACCTACCCTGACCTTACAGAAAGGAGAGGGTTTCCCTGCTCCTCTTTATGATGCTGAGGGGTGGGAGGGTGGAGTGAGAAAAAATGCTCACATCCTGTCTTTCTTCTTCCTCTCCCTCCCCATGGCAGGAGGAGTAAAAGGAGAAACAGGAGTGGTCAGAGCGTGGGACATTCATTGAACCATGTTTACTAAGGGACAGGGACACTGCTTTGAAAGGGCCTTCCTGGCCAGGCGCAGTGGCTCACGCCTATAATCCTAGCACTTTGGGAGGCCAAGGTGGGCGGATCAACTGAGGTCGGGAGTTCGAGACTAGCCTGACCAACATGGAGAAACCCCGTCTCTACTAAAAATACAAAATTAGCCAGGCGTGGTGGCGCATGCCTGTAATCCCAGCTACTCAGGAGGCTGAGGTAGGAGAATCGCTTGAATGCGGGAGGTGGAGGTTGCAGTGAGCTGAGATCATGCCATTGCACTCCAGCCCGGGCAACAAGAGCGAAACTCCATCTCAAAAAAAAAAAAATGGCAGGGGGGACTTTCCTAATTTTTTATTTCAGAAAGAAACTTGGTATCCTTGGACCTGAGTGGCAGGAATGGAAGGTATCTTTTTTTTTTTTTTTCCCCCCGAGACAGAGTCTTCCTCTGTCACCCAGGCTGGAGTGCAGTGGTGTGATCTCGGTTCACTGCAACCTCCACCTCCCGGGTTCAAGCAATTCTCATGCCTCAGCCTCCCAAGTAGCTGGGACTACAGGCACACACCACCACGCCCAGCTAATTTTTGTATTTTTAGTAGAGACAGGGTTTCACCAAGTTGGCCAAGCTGGTCTTGAACTCCTGACCTCAGGTGATCCGCCCACCCCAGCCTCCCGAAGTGCTGGGATTACAGGCGTGAGCCACCGCACCCAGCCTGGAAGATATCTTTAGAAGTGACTGGTGAGGATGGTGTTTGTGTTGAGAGGAGAGGCAGACAGGAAGAGACCACACGGGGCCTTGAGGACTTTAAATGAGGGATGACATGCATTGTGTTTTTTGTTTTGTTTTGTTTTTTCTTTTTTTGAGACGGAGTCTCGTTCTGTTGCCCAGGCTGAAGTGCAGTGGCACAATCTGGGCTCACTGCAACCTCTGCCTTCCAGGTTCAAGCAATTCTCTTGCCTCAGCCTCCCAAGTACCTGGGATTACAGGCACGTGCCACCATGCCCAGCTAATTTTTTTGTATTTTTAGTAGAGACAGGGTTTCGCCATGTTGGCCAGGCTGGTCTCGATCTCCTGACCTCAGGTGATCCACCCGCCTTGGCTTCCAAAAGTGCTGGGGTTACAGGTGTGAGCCACCTCGCCTGGCCCACGCTGTGTTTTTAAAAGCTACTCTGGCTGGCTCCTGGAGAAGGACCTGGTGAGGGAGGGGCCCGGGTGGATGGAGGAGGACTCAGGGAAGCTATGCAGTCCCCTGAGGACAGGAGCTCAGACAAAGGGAGAATGCAGAGAAGTAAATGAAGGTGAGAGAGATTTAGGAGGCAAATGGACAGGACTGGATGATTAACTGGACACAGTCCAGGGCAGGGAGAGGGAGGTGTCAAGGATGCCTCCCAGATTTCTCTGTGAAAAACTGGCTGGTTGGTGAATGGCTGAATAACCAAATGAAGGAGTGAATGAGGGCAACAGAAAGAAAAAATGATGGGCTGAAGTTGGGGACATACACATGAGCATCTATATGCACTCTGACCTCCGGCCGGCTTACCATCCTTAGGAGGCTCCGGGCCAACGCAGGCCTCAGAGGAGGAGTCGGCCTCCCTTCCCATGATGACCTGCAGCCTTCCTTCGCCATTCTCTGTGGGGAGAAGTGAGGTGGCAGGTCCCGCCCAGGGTGCCACACTCGCGGAGGAGGAGGCATCAAGGTTGGAATTGTCAACGTCGTCTGTTTCCTCTGGGATGTTGGAAGAAGAGCCTGTACCCTCAGAAAGCCCACTCCAAGGGAGCAACGTCTCCCAGCCTCGGAGTCGCTCTTCCACAGCAGCCACAGAGCCACGCACCTTTGGGAGAAGAGGGAGAAAGGAGCTCATCAAGAATTCTCTTGGAAATAAAAATGCTAACATCTGGCCTCCCAGCAGAGAGGGGGCGGGGAGCAGACTGAAGAACCTAATGCTGGTTGCTTTGTCTGAAAAAACCGCACCCTTCCTTTCAAAAGACCTGCACTTGCCCACCCACTGCCCTGCCATAGATGAGACAGCAGGACCCAGCATGGGCCGATCATAGTACCGCACTCCTCTGGCCATAGGGATTAGTCTAGATTTGTGCCTGTGATCCAAGGCGGACAACCAGAATCCTTCCCTGAAACTTTGCCACCTAGAGCTTATTGGGGAAAGACCTCCAGCCTTTCCTTTCTCGTGGTAGAACCAGACGCCCCACCACACCCAGAAAACCCATTTACAGTAGGGGAAAATGAAAGCTCAACACAGAGTAAAGCAGAGGCAAGCAATGGAGAGAGAGCCACAGACACAGAGACACAATGGCTGTACCTTTGGTGTTTGACATCCTGGGTCTAACTTCCCTGAAACCAGAGCAATGCCTGTCCTCTCTCCTGTCTGGTTAAATGAGACACTAAGTTCATTCATTCACTAATTCACTCATTCATATTCTTCCCCTCTCCCTATGTCTGTATGTGTGCACATGCACGTGTGTGTGTGTGTGTGTAAGAGGTTAAGTTCCTAACACTTTCAATAAAAAAAAGCACAAATAATATAGATGTTGCCCTGGAAGGTTTAGGAAGGTTAGGAAAATTGGAGGGAAGCAAGGAAGGAATGTTTCTTCTTCACACACACACACAGAGCACACACACAGTTACATACACATACATACCCTTATACCCATAATAACAATGACAAATCTCATCTCCTCAGTGCCTTGCAAAAAATTCAGTATACTAATGTATCCATTTCATACACAATGCATGAGTTTTTATAGATAAAAAATTAAAAGATCGGAAAAGTTAAGTTCCCTGCCTAAAGCCACCCAGCCAATCCAGTAAATGGCACAGGTGACCACCAAACCCAGCCTTGCTTATCTTTCAGTCCCTGACCCAGCTGTTCTCTCATCTTCCTAGCTTGGTTGTGATGTACTGCAAAGGCCATCTCCTACCTCTTCTTACACTGAAAGCACCCTATCCCCTTTATTTTACATGGCAAACATCTCATCCTTCAAGGCCCAGGTCACATGTTACTTCTTGAGATAAATCTTCACAGTAGATGCCCAATAAATATTTGCCAATCTAAAGACCGCATTTCCTTGTAGCTAGGTGTGGCCGTGTGACTAGGTTCTGCTCTCCATTATGTGAGAAAAAGTGATACATTTCCAGGTTATATCTTTAAAAGAAAGGGAGTGCGTCCACCTTTTCCTTTTAACCCTCTTTCAGTGGCTGGAATGCAGGTGTGATGGCCTGAGAACAGCAGCCATCTTAAATCCTGAAATGGAAGCCACATGGTAAGGATAGCAGACAAAAAATATAGAAGGAGCCTGGGTCCCCAATACCGTGGCACTGCCACATTAGCACTGGACTGTGTAAATTCAAACTGTTACACTAAAGAGAATAAACGTCTATCTCATTTACACCACTGCATTTTGCAGTCTCCTTGTTATAGCAGTTTCACCTGCACATTAAGTGACACATTGAACAAAATAATGGAATGAATAAAAGGATGAAAGTCTTACTGAAATAATAATTGGTTGAAGGAGACAGAACTTTTTAGAATATAAATCTGATTATGTTCTGCCTCTGCTTAAAACCCTAGTGAGGCTGGGCACAGTGGCTCACATCCGTAATCCCAGCACTTTGGGAGGCCGAGGCAGGTGAATCACCTGAGGTCAGGAGTTCAAGACCAGCTTAGCCAACATAGTGAAACCCCGTCTCCACTAAAAATACAAAAATTAGCTGGGTGTGGTGGCACACACCTGCAATCTCAGCTACTCAGGAGGCTGAGGCAGGAGAATTACTTGAACCTGGGAAGTGGAGGTTGCAGTGAGCCGAGATTGCACCACTGCACTCCAGCCTGGGCGAAAGAGTGAGATTCTGTCAAAAAACAACAACAAAAAAAAACCTTAGCGGCTCTGCAAAAATCCTTACTGTGCCTACAAAGCCCTCTATCATTGGACAACTCCTTCCTCGACACACCCAACACAAGCCTCTGTGCCCCATGTGTTGTATTCTAGCCCTTCGGACCTTCTTCCAAGCCCTTGAACGTGCTGAGCTCTCTCTCGGCTCAAGCCACCTGCAGGGTGTTCCTTCTGCCTGGATTGCTCTTCATGTGCTTAAACACCCCTTCCTCAGGAAGGTCAACAGGGTGGGGTCCTCGTCATACACTGTCCTGGCGCTCACCACACAGACAATTACTATACAATGTCCATGAGTTCCAGGAGAGTGAAGCTGGGTCTGCCTTGTTCCCAAACAGATGTGTCCCCTGGCCCTAGTGTACAACTACGGAATGAATGACTGAACATCGTGGCACATGGACACTCGGGGGACATCTGTGCTAGCAAAGGCTGAGAACAAAGACTGAAGCCTCCAGCTCCTGCCACGTGACAGTGCAAGACGATGGACATAGGGCTGAACTGGGAGTCCAGAGAGCTCTGACAGAAACAAATTCTCTGGCCTCATCTTCTCCTCTCTGGCCCTTGCCCTTCTGTAAAATGGGAGGCTTGGGCTACAGCAGTGGTTTTTGAAGATTTTTTTCAGCTACCAAACCCTTTCCAGAGAACCCAATATAGTAACTGAGAGAAGTCAAAGTGGGTGTCTGGTCCGAGTCACAATTGGGGGCCTGCACCTCCCCCAACCCCTCTTGCTGCCAACAGCAATTCCTGAGATATTCTCAAGGAGCCCCTCTGTGCCCAACACCACTTGCAAATCACTCTGCTAGATGATTTCTAAGGTTCCTCGTGGCCAGTGGAGATTTTGTCCTTAGAAAGACCAAGCAAGCAATGGCCAGACGCAGTGGCTCATGCCTGTAATTCAAGATACTCGGGAGGCTGAGGCAAGAGAATCACTTGAACCCGGGAGGCAGAGGTTGGAGATAGCGCCACTGCATTCCAGCCTGGGCGACAAAGGGAGACTCTGTCTCAAAAAAAAAAAAAAAAAAAAAAAAAAAAGACCAAGCAGTAGTCTCTCGATTACCTTTTACCATGGAAGCCACGGCTACTTCTCATGTCCAGAAAAACGTCTTACACGGTGTAGTGGCTGCCTTCTAGGACATCCGCCTAGTGCATGGGCTGAGCACGCTCCCTTTCTTTGGGACCTGGCCCTAACACCATACAGGGATGGAGCCCTGGGCAGCCAGGTTTGCATACTGGACTGCCCCGCCATGCCTAATTGGCCAAGCGGTAGACACCTGACCCAAGTTCAGCCAATCAGGTCCTCCCTCTGCGGGGGGCCTCAGGGTGGAGGCTCATTCTCTGCGTTAAAACCTGCGGGCAGATCCGTTCCCTCCAGGGAGCACGGAGGAAAGAAGGGGTCTATAGAGAAGGGGGAATAAAGCCGATTCGCAGAGTGCATCAAGTTCATTAACATCCCCGGATTTGGTCCTGCACCCTGAGGCCCTGCAATACCCCTGTCCTGCTCAGACTTCGCACTATCCATCCCTACCTACCCAGCCCCTTGGCTGATGCAAGCTCCAGGAGGTTCTGCGGCTTGCCATAACCCTGGTTTGTGCACCAGGCCTCTGTGAAGGGGCCGTCCCCGATGAGGTGGACCCACACGCCCAGGCAGCGAGGTTGCTGCGGGCGAGGCTCACCTCCTGCAGGCTGATGTTACGCTTCCGCAGGCACAGGCAGGCGGCCGTGGCCAGGGCCTTGGCGCAGTCCTCCGGAAGCCTCCCTGCACCCTTCTCCAGGTACTTCTGGCAGATCTCCTTTGCCATCACGTTCTCCACGCCCGTCTTCCTGGAGCACAGCGAGGCGGTGCTGCTTGGAATTTCACTGAGGAGTAAATCCTTCTGTGGGAAGAAGTGTAGAAACGCCCTTGTGTGAGCTGCAGGGCTGCGACAGCCAACGCACGCGCCCCAGTCACCTCTAGAGCTGCAAAAAAATGCTCAAAACCAACAGGACATCGTAAGAATAAATGCAAAGATTCCAGAAAGAAGTAAAACACCCAAGAAATGGAGAAGGACTCGATTTCCTACGTGCACAAGACACTCCGTAGTGAACTCATGCCACAAACTCGGGGCCTTAATTTTTCCAGGCCTCGGTTGGTTCATCAGGAAAATGGGAATAACAAAAATACCTATACCAGGGCCGGGCGCCGTGGCTCACGCCTGTAATCCTAGCACTTTGGAAGGCAGAGGCGGGTGGATCACTTGAGGTCAGGAGTTCAAGACCAGCCTGGCCAACATGGCATAACCCCGTCTCTACTAAAAATATAAAAAATTAGCTGGGCTTGGCCGGGCGCGGTGGCTCACGCTTGTAATCCCAGCACTTTGGGAGGCCGAGGTGGGCGGATCACGAGGTCAGGAGATTGAGACCATCCTGGCTAACACGGTGAAACCCCGTCTCTACTAAAAATACAAAAAATTAGCCGGGCGTGGTGGCAGGCACCTGTAGTCCCAGCTACTCGGGAGGCTGAGGCAGGAGAATGGCGTGAACCCGGGAGGCAGAGCTTGCAGTGAGCCGAGATCACGCTACTGCACTCCAGCCCGGGTGACAGAGCGAGACTCCATCTCAAAAAAAAAAAAAAATTTCAAATGTAGGATTCTAACCTATGTATACATAACAGGAGAACCACAAAGAAAATATGTCTATACTTTTTATACATTTTGTATTTACATATATTTTATATTTTGTACCACATAAAATACAGGAATCTGAACTATGCATACAATAGAACACATGCTATATAAATAATTTTATACAAATACGTAAGATTTATTTAATATAAATTATATGTTGTATATTTCATGAGTAATATGGTCTATATGATTAGCATATATAAATGTTACAAATATAGTATACTAAATATTGTAAAAACATGTATTGTAGGCCAGGCATGGTGCCTCAGGCCTGTAATCCCAGTGCTTTGGGAGGCCGAGAAGCGCAGATCACTCAAGGTCAGGAGTTCGGGACCAGCCTGGTTGACATGGTGAAACCTCGTCTTTACTAAAAATACAAAAAATTAGCCAGGCATGGGGGCACACACCTGTAGTCCCAGGTACTCGGGAGGCTGAGGCAGGAGAATTGCTTGAACCAGGGAGGGAGAGGCTGCAGTGAGCTGAGATCACACCACTGCACTCCAGCCTGGGCAACAGAGTAGACTCCGTCTCAAAAAAAATAAATAAATAATAAATAAAAATAGAAATAGGCCGGGCACGGTGATATGATCATAGCTCACTACAGTCTCAACCTCCTCGGTTCAATCGATCCTCCAACCTCAGCCTCCCAAGTAGCTAGGACTATAGGCGCAGGCCATTGTACTTGGCTAATTTTTTAATTTTTTGTAGAGATGGGGTCTCATTACATTGCCCAGGCTGATCTTGAACTCCTGGGCTCAAGCAGTCCTCCTGCCTTGGCATCTCAAAGTGCTCAGATTATAGGTGTGAGCCACTGCACCCAGCCTAAATGTTTATTTTTGTTAAAGTGTGCTAGTGTTTAAAGCTGATAATCAAGAACAGCAGAAGTGTATTATTTTCTTTTTTTCTAGAGGCAGGGTCTCACAATTTGCCCCAACTGGAAACCTGCCATCATTGCTATGTATCCTGATGCAAAGACTATGATGATAATCAAAGTACAGAAGACACCTGGTGTTTAAACAGTGGTTGGGGGACTGAGAACACGCGATGAAAGGATGTCGAGGGAACTTCACCATGGAGGAGTCTGCAGCTCCACCTGAAACCACTGATCAATCTTAGCACTAAAACCTGAACATACTTATTGGTCTCAGCACTAAAAGTAGGACAACAGGCTACGCGCCCCGTGTAGTGAAGAACTGGAAGGCTCACAGCGCCTCCAGAAAGTTTTCTTGATGAAGGCAATGACCATGACTAAACAAGTCACAAGTGCTAAGTACGAAATACAGGAAATATGAGGAATAGAGAAACAAGGGAAGGAGACCACAGGATGTAATCAGCAAAACCCAGAATGTGAGACAGTCTGTCTATATAGGGCAAATGACCTATTCTATGCAAAAATGCAACGACATCCAAAATGAAAAAGGGCATTGCGGGAGAGGTTGCGAGAGAATAAGAGTCTTAAAAAACATAGCTATGCCCAGGCATGGTGGTTCCCGCCTATAATCTCAGCACTTTTGGAAGGCTAAGGCAGGTGAACGCTGGAGCCCAGGAGTTCAAAACCAGCCTGGGCAACAAAGTGACATGCCATCTCCATATAAAAATGAAAAAAAAAAAAACATAACCAAAGTAATATATGGACATTTTTGGGAGTCTAGTTTCAAACAAACTACCTTTAAAAAGCAACTTTTGGCTCGACACGGTGGCTCACGCCTATAATCCCAAGACTTTGGGAGGCCAAGGCAGGAGGATCACTTGGGCTCAGGAGTTCGAGACCAGCCTGGGCAACGTGGCAAAACCCCATCTCTATTAAAAATACAAAAATTTTCTGGGCCATGGTGGCACACACCTGTGATCCAGCTACATGGGAAGCTGAGGCAGGAGAATTGCTTGAACCTGGGAGACAAAGGTTGCAGTAAGCCAAGAGCACACCACTGTACTCCAGCCTGGGTCACAGAGGGAGACTCCACTTCAAAAAAAAATTAAAATTAAACATAAGTGGTTAAAATTTGGGGGCAAAAGTTTACCTTTCCTTTCATTTCTACTCTCCAAAAGTAACCCCTGCTAATAGTTTGGATTATATTACTTTCTGCTATACAGCTGTAATTATTTTGGTTATATATTTACTTATATAATAATTATAACAGTAACCTAAGAGCTATTAAAATAATAGCAATATCAGCATGGGCAACATAACAAGACCCCATCTCTACAAATAAAAAATTAAAAATTAGCTGGGCGTGAGGGCACATGCCTGTGGTCTCAGTTACTTGGGAGGCCGCCGAGGCAGATGGATCACTTGAGGTCAGGAGTTCAAGACCAGCCTGGTCAACATGGTGAAACCCTGTCTCTACTGAAAATACAAAAATTAGCTGGGCGTGTTGGTCCACACCTGTAATCCCAGCTACTCGGGAGGCTGTTGCAGGAGAATCAATTGAAGGCAGGAGGCAGAGGCTGCAGTGAGCCGAGATTGCACCACTGTACTCCGGACTGGGTGACAGAGTGAGACTGTCTCAAAATAAAAATAAATAAAATAAAAATTAGCTAGGAGTGGTGGCACGTGCCTGTAGTCCCAATTACTTGGGAGGCCAAAGCAGGGGATCACTTGAGGCCATGGGTTCAAAGTTACAGTGAGCCATGATTGTACCACTACACTCTAGCCTAGGTGGCAGAGACCCCATCTCAAATAATAATGATAATAATAATAGTTAACATATAGATTTTCTGGTCAAAATGGCTGGCAGGCAGGCGGTTTCAGCATCAGGCAAGTGGCTGGGTGGTATTCGAAAATGGTATTACAATGCTGCAGGATTCAATAAACTGGGGTTATTGCGAGATGATACAATGTACGAGGATGAAGATGTAAAAGAAGCCGTAAGAAGGCTTCCTGAGAACCTTTATAATGACAGGATGTTTCGAATTAAGAGGGCACTGGACCTGAACCTGAAGCATCAGATCTTGCCTAAAGAGCAGTGGACCAAATATGAAGAGGAAAATTTCTACCTTGAACCGTATCTGAAAGAGGTTATTCGGGAAAGAAAAGAAAGAGAAGAATGGGCAAAGAAGTAATCATGTAGTTGAAGTCTGTGAATGCAGCTGTTATGAAGATGGTTATACTTGAAACAAACAATTTTAAGAATTATTTGGTCTGCAGATGTTTTACTTTAAATAAATGTCTATTGTAATGGCAAAAAAAAAAAATAGTTAACATATATTGTTTATTATGTTCTAGTTACTGTTTTAGGCATCTCACACATTATTTAACCTTCAATAACACTGTCAGATGCCGGGCACAGTGGCTCATGCCTATAATCCCAGCTACTCGGGAGGCTAAGGTGAGAGGATCCCTTGAGCCCAGGAGTCCGAGGTGGCAGCGAGCTATGATCATGCCACTGCACTTCTCCAGTCTTCTTGACAAAGGAAGACCCCATCTCCAAAAATGATAACAAACAAATATACCTTGTCAGGAGAGTACTACTATTATCCTCAATTTATAGAGAAGAAAATATGTGATACAATGTTTTCATTCATTCATCCATCTATTTTTAGCAAAAATGTGATCATATTATATACTATTCTGAATTTGCTTTTTTCACTTGGAGATATGTCCCTGTCAGAAAATACATGTCTTTTTCAATTTACTTTTCTATTTTTTTGAGACAGAGTCTTACTCTATTGCCCAGGCTGGAGTGCTGTGGCACAATCTCAACTCACTGCACTCCACCTCCCATGTTCAAGCGATTCTCCTGCTTCAGCCTCCTGAGAAGCTGGGACTACAGGCACTCGCCACCCACCCAGCTAATTTTGTATTTTTAGTAGAGACGGGATTTCACCACGTTGCCCAGGCTGGTCTTGAACTCCTGAGCTCAAGTGATCCACCCACCTCAGCCTCCCAAAGTGCCGGGATTACAGCCGTGAGCCACCACACCCAGCCTCTTTTTCATTTTTTAAAATAAGAATGTTTCTGTTGGCTTTATTCAGAATTGCCAAAACCTGGAAATAACCCAAATGTCCAGCAACTGGTAAATGGATAAACAGTCATCTATCCATACAATGGAATACTCTTCAGCAATGAAAAGGAATGAATTACTAACACATCAACAACATGGATGAATCTAAGCACCACGCTACATGAAGGGGGACAGAAACAAATGGGTGCATCCTCCGTGGGCCCATTGATATGACCCTCTAAAGAAGATAGACCTATGTGGACAGAA